AGCCTCAACGAAGTTTGCAACCCCAGTTCAACACACCCGTGAACGTCCAAGAAAACGTCAAATTGATGACAGGGTCCGATCATTTGTTGACCTCAACCCTCCTGTATCGGAGGCCCACCTGGCAGATACTTTTGTTGAAGCACCCGAATTGGTGCATTAGGGTTTGACGGTGGAGGGCGTCGAACGAGCCAGGAGGGCAAGTTTCGGCATCGGAGTCTCAATTTTTGCCCTAAACCCTAAACCTACTAAACCTGCTAAACCTACTAAACCTACTAAACCTACTAAACCTACTAAACCTACTAAACCTACTAAACCTACTAAACCTACTAAACCTACTAAACCTACTAAACCTACTAAACCTACTAAACCTACTAAACCCTAAACCCTACTCCAAGTCCTTCGCGCGGTAGGGTACAGTACCGTATATCGATTTTGGACGCCTGGGCTCACATATGGTCTCTCACTGTCTGGGGTCTAAAGTGCACTGGCATGATAGTTGGTTCTCTTCTTCAAGTAGCTCTTACAAAGATGCCGCTTTGACCGGGCTTTGGGGGCCTACCCCTAAACTCTAAACCCTAAACCCTAAACCCTAAACCCTAAACCCTAAACCCCAAACCCCAAACCCTGAACAGCGCAGGAGGAGGAGCAGAAGCAGCCGGCCAAAGGTGCCGGCGGAGCACAGGCTGAGAGTTGGGTTTGGGCATTGGGGGGTTCAGGTTGGGCTGTTTTCCCGTTATACTAACAAGGGTTTAGGGTTTAGGGTTTAGGGTTTAGGGGATCAGCACATCAGGTCTGCTCTCCCTTTGCTCACCTAAGCCCGCTCAAGTGTTGAGAGAGGTTGGTTTTTTGTTGTGGCTTGGATGTTCCCCCTTTAACTAGCAGTCCTTACCAGGGGATTATAGGGGGATGCGGATCAAAAAATATTTATTTAGGATCAAGAAAAAATTTATTTAGGATCAAAAAATAATTTATTTAGGATCAAGAAATAAATATTCTGTTCTTCCGACGGAGAGAGGGAAGGGGAGGGAGGAAAGGAGGGAGGGAGGGAAGGAAGGGCGGAAGGGCGGAAGGACGGAAGGAAGGAAGGAAGGAAGGCAGGAAGGAAGGAAGGAAGGAAGGAAGGAAGGAAGGAGGGAAGCAAGCAAGCAAGCAAGCAAGGAAGCAAGGAAGCAAGGAAGGAAGGAAGGGAAGGAAAGGAAATGAAAGGACAGGAAAGGATATGTAGGAACCCATAACATAACATCATATGTTATAATATATATGTGTGTATATATTAAAACAAAGTACAGCAACATATTGTAGTGGCATAGAGTAGAATAGAACACAATATCGTATAGCATACCTTTGTATCAAAAAATATAATAAAATCGAAATAACAAAGCATATATGTATATATATATATATATATATATTATATTTACTGCTATTTGATGTAGAATTCATAATACACAATACATATTTCTTGTTTGTTTGGCGCCGGGCAAGCTTCTTCAACGCGTATGAACCCCTTCCAAACCCATGATGCGAGCATTGTGTTTGCAAATGGGGGGGGGTCTGCGCCCCCCCTTCAAACCCCCCGCTGTTGTTTAAAGCCGGGCAAGCAGCGTATGAATATCTTTTCCAAACCAATGATGCGAGCATTGGGGGGGGGGCTGCCCCCCCCAACCCCCCCCCCGGCGCTGTTTTCTTAGTCCGGGCAAGCTTGCTTCAAAGCACATGAATCCTTCCAATCCCATGATGCGAGCACTTTTTGCAAAAAAACATGAAGGCACAACAAGATGCAATGGTATACAAGAATGTATTACAAAAAGATGCAATAATATACAATAATGCACAAAAAATACAACAATATACAAATATGTACAAGAATATGCAGCAATATACACGTAAAAAAGAGTAACTTACAATAATCTTCAGTAATTGACAAGAATACTCAATAATAGACAACAATATACAATACTATACAAAAGTATACAAAAATATACAATATCATACAATTTTTCAAAAATATACAAAAAATGTACAGCTATATAGAAAACACAAAAACACAATGACATACAACGATATATAATAGTGTACGAAAACTACAATAATATACAATAGTAGACGACAATAGTATACAATAATATACAAGAATATACAAGAATATACAAGAATATACAAGAATATACAATAATATAATATAGAATAATCTGCAATAATATACAAAGAAAATTCAAGAGTATACAAGAATTTTGAAAATAGCATTCAATAACATGCAATAATCATAGGATCTTACACCCCCCCCCCCCCTACTCCCCCCCCCCCCCGCCAAATAGGAGCGTCTGCAGGTGCAAGACAAAAAAGAAGCCAGAAATAAGCCTTATTTAAGATCTATTTTGGTGCACCGAAAATAGATACTAAATAGTGCTTATTCTTGGGGTTCTTTAGCCAGCCCCAAATAAGCCCTAAATAAGGCTTATTTTGAGAAACAGGGGCTGAAGCTGCCTGGCTCCGCGAATTCGGGGCCACGAGATGGGTGCTCAAAGCAGCACTCAGGGACACGTGACATGCAGTCCAAACACACCAAAATAAGCGTCGTAGTTGTTGAGTCCGTGGACCCGAAATAAGCTCTATTTACTGTAAGCCATACTTTGTTGAAAAACAGGACCAGCACCTCAATACGTGTATCTTGTGGTAGCTCACCAGCAAATCTCGAATCCTGATGGCAGCTGTGGTGCCTTTGGATGATGGGAGTGATGCAAGTGAACACGAAGTGGCATCGCTGGACCCAAGCAAATTGCACACCAGATTGTTCAAAGTAAGTGGGGCGGAGATCATCGTGCATGTGAGCCAGGATCCGAGCTCGCAGAGCTTTTGGCAAGAGTACACTGTAGCCTTGTGGATCCTGCGAACGAAAAACCCCGACAAAGCCAGAGAACGGTGTGTTGAGACCAGGCCCTCGGTGCAGGAGATGCACATGCGGCTCTGGCCGGGCGAGGTCGTCCAAGAAGCCTCAAGCAAACGACGCAAGAAAAAATCACAAAAAGTTTGGAGAAATAGCCAGCGCGTCTCAACATTCTTTGTTGAATGCACCCTCACCACCAGCATGGTGATCTCTTATATGCTGTTTGCTGCTTCTAGCAGCCGCAGATCACCAGCAGACAGGGCCTACGCCGTGCAATGCTTCAAGGATTTGTTGCGCAAGCTGGCCGAGGTGCGTCCAGAGTTTGAGTTCTGGTTTCAACGACATGGTGATGACGAATGGACGCTTGTCACCTGCAGCGTGGACAGCAATGGCCAGTACCTATTTTCAGGCAGCTCGTTGTGGACAACGGATTTCTACAGGCAGGCTAGGGATTTGAAGGGTTTCCAGGGTAAGCTGACAGTCAGGGTGTTGCCCTGCCTGCCCTGCTCAGGGACAATGTTGGTTCTTTGTGGGCTGCGGATTTCACAAACTTGACGAAGCCGTGGGTTTGCCATAGAACGGGCCGTGGCCCGGTCCTCCTGCATGAGTATCTGGCTTTCGTTTGGGACGCTCAACACCCCCTGCAGCTGCGTGAAGAGCTGAACAGCGGCATGTACGGCGTGATGACCGAAGTGGCCTATCACCTGGAAATTCTTTTGATGCAAGTGACAAGCTCGCTGGATGAAATGCCCCAGAACTGGGGACCGCTGACAAACGTCAGAAGAATGCAGGACTCCGTTGCATGGGAGTTGAAGAGAACCGTGTCCGACGCCTTGTTGGCCCTCCCGGTCAATGATGCTGACGGTGAACCCGTCGACAAAGAGGCCAGCAACGAGGGTTTAGGGTTTAGGGCTTTGGGGCTTTAGTAGGGCTTTGGGCTTCGGGTTTAGGGCTTAGGGCTTGGGGCCTAGGGGTTAGGGTTTAGGGTTTAGGGTTTATTTGTTCGAAAGATAGTGCTGAGCATTCTTTGTGTCCCGTGCAGGTGTGGAATTTGCGTACGTTGATCGATCGCACCCTGGCATCAGCTGGTGTGAAAATCAAGAAGGCTGTGAAAGTGTCAGATTTGGCGTGGGCCTCGTGCGCCTGAGCCTCAGCAACACACAGAGTCAAATGTTTTGTGTTTTGAAATTTCTCAACGCAGCTAAGTTCGTATCTTGGGCCAAAGCTCGCGAGATGCTGTCTACTGCTCGGGTGCTACACGCCAGATCCTGAGCCCTGAGACGCAAGAACCTGTAACGGTGAACTCTTTTCCCTCACCCTGTCTGCTGAGTTGTACATGGATGGTTCGTCCATTGCAAAGCGGCCGACCGAACTGGTTTTTTTGTGGTCCCCTCAACACCGACGTGGAGCTTACTGTCCTCCACTGGCCCGCGACTCAGACAGTGATAGTGATGCCTGCTGTTCCGATTCACTGATGACATTGGTTTTTTCTTGCTCTGATCTCCGCGCGTTCCGCAGTTCGCATTTAGGGTCAGGGCGCCCTTTTGGCAGCCATGGATCAGGGTAGCGGGGCATCTTTTACCCTGCTCAGCGAAGCAGATAGTGATGCATGCGTGCTCACCCAGTCGTCTTCCTCCAGCAATGAACCGCTAAAGGACGACTAAATAGTGCTTGGGCGCTGTCCCGTCACGTTCAATTAATTAACGGAGGTTGTCATAAGAGAGGTTGTCACGCCGCACCTATCTGTTCCTGCGCAGGAGATCTTGACCGACAATTCCAACTTGCAACGGGCAGCCCGCTGCATACAGATTGCGTGGTCAGAACTGCAACGACATCTGTCTTCCCAAGACGTGGAGGCCTAGCTATTGAGTGTCTTGAAAACCTGCCTCATGTCACTGTCTGCTGCTACCATCTGCCCGGCCCTGCAGGCGAGCTTCTTGTGCAGGGGGCGCAGCGTTTCTTCATCCTGCACAGGGGTTTACACAGCGGAAATGGCCCTGTCCGTTGTCCAGAAAACTGTCAACGACAGCGGCAAGCTCCCTTGGCCGATGAATTTCTGCCCTACGTCGTGTTTCGTTTCTCTGCCGCAATTGCTGATTTGAATGTGTTCAGGATGTTACTTCCCCATCCCCCCCATCCCCTACCTCGTCTTTGGGTTTCTAGATTTGTCCAGGAAATGAAGCGATCCTGCCGGGATTCGATTCGGGACCATGAAGTGTGGTGCAACTCACTGGACCCATCCATCCGCAGGGAGCCACCCCATGTGTTTGGGGATATCTGTGATGTGTTCTTTGACAAAGGATTTCTAGATGAGGGAAGCTTCATCCAGAAGTTGCTCCACGCTGACGGGGCAGCGTTGGCATCACACGCTTTCTGCCACACCCACAACACTTACTGTGGTCTCTGGCCTGGACGGTCTGCTGCGGCGGCAGATGTCGAAGTCGCGGGCCTGCCGTGCACTGACTACAGCAAAGCGGGCAGGCGTCAGCGCCACGAGGGGGTGACGAACAAGGTTTTCATCTCCCACGCAAAGCGGCACGTCGAGCTTGGCACACCGCTGCTCATCTTGGAGAATGTTTGGGACATGGTCGACAAAACCCCTTTCCCAACAGCCCCATAATGATTGTTCACGGTTAGGTAGACACTGCAGCCCCTGTGACTCAGTAGCGTGCAGGAGGTATGCCTTCGTACGATGCAGAAGCTCTATGGCAACCACTATGACATCTACCCTTTGTATTGCAAACCCGAAGACTCTGGTCATTCTGGGCAGCACGCAATCGCGTGTATTTTGTTCTGGTGCACAAGACGAATGCAGTCATGACCTGCGACGTGCAATACCTGTATGACTGCGTGACGGCAGTGATCAAAAAGCACGTGCGCACTGAGGTCTCAGACTACCTTGTCTCCTCAAACTGGGAGGTCAGCCTGGAAGCCGCGGAATTGGCCAGGTCTCGACGACTGCGGTGGCCTACCACAGCTAAGGGTGTGACTCTGCTGCACATGTCATGCGCTAGGAAACACTGGTAGTTAAAGAAAAAAACTCGACTCTGCCCCCTTGCAACGATGTTCCCCAGGCGTTTGGAAAGAGATCCTGGCTTCTGTCGTTGCTTACCAATCGGGAGAAGGACGCAATAGCCTACGCACAGTCGCTCTACGAGCGCAAATACCACTCCAAGGCGTCCTCAAACAAGAACCTTGTCCTTCATCTCGGTGACAACCCACGCAAGTACCTCATTTGGTCGGCCGCGAGCAAGAAGCTTCCCACGAGGCGTCTTGCCTCCACAAGGTTGTGGCATTTCCAGCGCAGGCGATGGTTGACATCCTGAGGTTTTACTGTCCATGGGATTCCCTGCAAATGCAGACACTGCAGCTGCCATGGGATGTCCTGTAGTTCCCATCAAGGATATCAAGAAATCAGCTCACCTGGCTGGCAACGCCATGCATTTCGGGACAGTCAGCACCGTCCTGATCATCGCGTTGGCCGCGTGCCAGCCACGGTAGTCTTTGTGCTGTCTTCAGGCGCATAAGTTAAGTTCAGAAGTGCTTTGTGATTATAATGACTGACTAGCTGCAGTTTTGACAGAATGATTGCGCCATACAGTACAGTCAGCACATTGCGTTCAAATTTCACTGCATGCCGCCCACGGCAACTGACCGCGCCTTCTGATTCTGAAACAAAGCGCAGACAATCATCTCCGTTCTCCTAGCGCAGCAGGTTTGCGAGGTTTTCAGACTCTGGCATTTCAGTCATTCGATTGTCATGACTCTGGCATGCATTTCAGTCATTCGATTGTCAGTGTCTCAAGCCTGGTATTGTGTTTGCTGTAAGCTCCACCCAACCGCCATGCGCAAGCAGCGAGCCAGTGAACGTTTTCGTGAGACAGAGGAGATTGAGGAGGAGGACGACAGGTTCTCCAAGAAGCGCGCTCGTCCTGCGCCCTCAAAAGCCGTGGCTATGAAACCGAAGAAGCGTATCTTGGCAGAGAGTGAGGAGCAGGACGACTCCTTTGTGTCGCTAGTCTTCCATTAAGTATTTTCTTGAGGCAGTCCCAGCCAAAGACAGATAATGCAAAACGCCGACCACTGAGGTTTCCTGGCGGATATCAAGTGGGTGTTGCTCCGCCGCCCAACAGGGGAGCGACGACCAAGGCACCGCCGCCTACCAAAGCTAGGCGTAACTCTGGTGACAAAGCGGCTGACAAGGACAAGCCGGAGGGCAGCGGCGCCGGCCGTCGCGTCAGTGTGGTCAAGTACACTGCGCAGAAAGTCGTGAATGATTTCGTGGAGCTTTGTCTGTTATTAATGGGGCCTTGCTTCTTTTCTGCTGCATGCTGGGTGCTCTGTTGCTCTGTCTGCTTTAGCTTGATTAGCGCTTGTTCTCAGGACTGTCACTTGGTGGACTGGCTGAGCTATGCCGACGAGGACTTCATGCACAGGGGCATCATCAACACATTGACTCGAACGCCTCTTTATGGGCTTCTGTTGTTCGCCACGGGCTGGGGGCCGGGCACCGTCAAAGTTTCGACGCTTGCCTGCGCATAGCGACATGCTTTAAGGCCAGGGTTGGGGGGTGTTCAGCATTCTTGGGCACGGCCTGCAGCTGAGGGACATACCGGAGGAGGTGAAGAAGGCGTGCAAGGGACAGTACGTCAAGCGCGGTTGTCCAGTGCAGTGGACAGGCTGGACGCCAGTGCAATGCCATGCGTACATCAAATGGCAAGTGCGGCACCAGGAGGAGTTGGATTTGGATGACGATGAGCTTGGCGGCTTTGCCTGGCACCTTCCAAGGAAACAGGAGGACGGCCGCCCCGCGGACCTCCCGGACTATGTGCTCAATGATTCTCTGCCGCCGCCTGACTGGGCAGGATGGAAGGAACGTCGCACGCCTGAGTCGGACGAAGACGACCTAGATCCAGAGTTAGTCGGGTACAAGCTCCAGCACTTCCCGAAGGACGACGTGAGCACCCTCACCCATGTCCTCACAAAGGTGTCTGTGGACCTGGACTACATGGAGGGGTCAAGCATCCGCACAAACTCGTTTGAAGGCGATGTCATCACGGGCCCCCATCTCGACGACAACACTTGCTGGCAGATCATGAATGAGTGTGGCAAGTCTCTGGACAGAACTTTCATGAGCTCGTGGTTCTAGGTAGGGGGAAGGGAGCAACAATAATGCAAATCACCCTCGTTGTTTCAGGAGATCCAGCGGAAGTTGGATGCCCTCCAGGAAAGGACTGGGCCGCGAAACATCAAGCCAACAATGAAATCAAGGTCCACGGAGGGCCCGAAGAAGGAGCCTGAGGATGCGAAGCCGCTTCCACGTCCCAAGCTAAGGAACGTCTCTGCGGTGCCCAAACCCTTGCCTGGCATGCAGGGCGGCAAGCGTTTCGCGGGTGCCAAGCCCAAGGCGGATGCGAAGAAGGCCAAACTGCGTCATGCCCTTGCGTGTTTTTTTCGTGGGAACCTGCCTCGACGTTAAATATTAAACCTGTGTCGCGCAGGCAAGGACGAACACCGACGAAGGGGCGAACGACGCCGCAGACTCCCTGTTCGATGAGAATTCTCCAAGTCCAGATCTTGGTTCCGATCTAGAGGACGACCCCCATATCTGCGTCCTCGAGGACGGCGTTCAGATGCTTGTGGTGCCGGCTGTCGGCAAGCGCTTGGAGCTTCCGACCAACAAGGTCACTGACTGGATGGTTTGCAAGCAAGAGATCTCGCCAGGCAAGCCGGAATGGGTCTTGACGACAGAGTCAGGACAGGGAAAGGCAGGAAAGATCAGGCCCGTTAACCAGGTGATCATGTCCAGCCGTGCCGAAGACATACCGGTGGAAGGCCCCCCCGACGAGAGGACCTGCGCCGCATCATGCATGTGCCCTATGAAACAATGTCCAAAGTCTAAACAGCCGCCCTCGCATACTGGTCCCAGGACCTCAACGGCGTTGGCCCCGATCAAGGACAAGGACGACGACCAGGAGTACAAGGGGCCCGAAGACGTGCCGGCCCCTCCACCAGAAGTGCCAATTCCATCCGATGAGGAGTCGATTGATGGTGTCGCGGGCAAGGAATCAGCACTCTGAATGGGTGTTCGTGTGAGAGCTGCGCGCGCTCCGCACTAATTTTGATGGCTGACGCCATTGGGCAAAGCAAACCCGGCAAACAGCCCCAAAATTCTCAGGCCGCCAAAGCAGCCCCCCCCCCCCAATAGCCTCAACATAGCTTGAAAACAAGCCCCCAGGCCCCAGAAATAGCCCCCAATTAGCTTAAAATAGCCCCAGGCCCCAAAAATACCCCCATAAATAGCTTCAAAATAGCTCCAAAATAGCTTCAAAATAAGCCCCGGGCCCTAAAAATAGCTTCAAAATGGCTTCAAAGCAAAAAAAACCACAAAATAGCTTCTAAACAGCTTCAAAATAGCCCCAAAATAGCTTCAAAATAGCTCCAAAATAGCTTCAAAATAAGCCCCGGGCCCCAAAAATAACACCAAAATAGCTTCAAAATAGCTTCAAAATAAGCCCCGGGCCCTAAAAATAGCTTCAAAATGGCTTCAAAGCCAAAAAAACCACAAAATAGCTTCTAAACAGCTTCAAAATAGCCCCAAAATAGCTTCAAAATAGCCCCAAAATAGCTTCAAAATAAGCCCCGGGCCCCAAAAATAACACCAAAATAGCTTCAAAATAGCTTCAAAATAAGCCCCGGGCCCTAAAAATAGCTTCAAAATGGCTTCAAAGCCAAAAAAAACCACAAACTAGCTTCTAAACAGCTTCAAAATAGCCCCAAAATAGCTTCAAAATAGCCCCAAAATAGCTTCAAAATAAGCCCCGGGCCCCAAAAATAACACCAAAATAGCTTCAAAATAGCTTCAAAATAAGCCCCGGGCCCTAAAAATAGCTTCAAAATAGCATCAAAATAAGCCCGGGCCCCAAAAACAACCCCAAAATAGCTTCAAAATAGCTTCAAAACAAGCCCCAAAACCTCCAAAACAAACCCAAAACAGCTTCAAAAAGCTCCAAGCCGCCCTGCGAGCCTGCCCATTGGTGTCCTGCAACACTCAACATCGCACGGTGCGACTTTCCAGGGGCCATTCTTGTCGAGAGCTGTGTCACATCAGTCTTGCTGCAATACAGAAATCATGTGGCTTCTAATTTGCCCCAGGTAGCTTCCTCCGTCGCACTGCTGTGTTGGCGTGGGTACTGAACGGAAAAAAGGGCAAACGCTCAGCAGCATTGCTTTCAGTTTCTCCTCCCCCCCCCCCCCCCCCCCCCCCCCGCCTCCTCCCCGGCGCGTCGTGAGGTCGTGCCGAAAATCATCACCGAAACTTTGAACGGGTCCAGCCGCTGGAGGCATCGTGGCTGTCTGCAAGAGAAGTAACTCTGAAGCTGCAAAAAAAAACGGCCGCAGGCCCAAGCTCACGAGCAAAGACTGCAACGCCTTCTTCGTTGTTGCCTGAGATGTGAGGTTGCATCGACTGCGTTCTCATTGTTGTCCTTCCTCCTGTTTGTTGTGACCATAATTCCAAGGCTGTCGTCCAGACGATCCACCACAATCTGGTGATGATGACTGGCCAAGGTTTGGACAGCTTTGTCGTGCACAACCCTCCGGACCTGCTGGCAGACCCCGCCACTGTAACCCTTCAGCCGGCGCTCGAGCGCAAGATGATCCGGGCTGAGCCTCGACGCAGTCAGCTGCCATAATTTTACCCGCCACCCTCGTTTAAGCTTGCAGTTCTGACAACCCAAAAGATTGCGAGCAGTTGAGGTGGAGGATGAGGAGGGGGTTCAGGGTAAGGCGTGGAACTTTCTGCTAGAGGTGGGGGCCATCCGGGGCATGATGGAACCCGAGATGGCCCACCCCTGGTGGAACAGCTACAAGAGGGCAGCCAAACAGACCGGTTTGGACTCGTCTATCTTGAAATTGACGATCCTTTGCAATCACCCTCATGGATCTTTTCAAAACGGGGATAGATTCTTCACAAGGCGAGACCTGGCTGACTTTTGAACCCCCCCAAAAGTTTAACTTTTAGCCTCCTTTTTGTGTTTGAAAAAAATCCCGAACAGTCCTAAGAGCCAGCCAGAAGAAAGCCAAGGGGAAGTGACGGAACACTACCTGATGCGGCAGGACGAGGCGTTCTTCGAGGAAAAAGCAGAGCTGCTGGCCTTTGATCGCAACTACCATCTTGACCCCGATGAGCGCGCTGTGCCGACTTTCGAGGACTGGATGAATTCTCCGTCTCTTACCCGCCGTGGCCTCTTCGCATCTCGACAGAATTCAATTCTTATGAGATCTACTGACAGAGTGTTTGCGCCCGAGCCAGTGTGTTCACAAGCAACGTAGCCCCAAACCCTTAAACGTGACCCAATGAGGTTTTAGGGTTGTTTCCTCCGACTTCCTGAAGCGCCTCGATTGTTGTTGATTCATTTGCTGCCGCATGAGTGCTCCTGTTACCTCCAGCTCAAGTTTGCTGTTGGGGCCTGTTCCGTCAACACACAAGCCATGGCCTGTGTCACGCCCGACAAGAAGACCAACAAGAGACGCGCTCCGGGGATCAGCCCTGCAACCGCATCACCGCAGTCCAGCCAGGCGTCATTTTTGGGAACTAACTAGGTATACAGAGCGTCCGTGTCACGGTCACAATTGCGTGTTTGCACGCTGCATTTAGGGGGTGTCACGATTTGGGTGTCTTGAGGCTTCCCCTGGCTTGTCCTCTGCCCTCAAGAAGCTTCAGTTGCAGACGCCGGAGAAGACGTTGCCTGCAAAGAGCAAGAAGCGACAGGACAGGAACTGCTGGTGAATTTGTAGGTGGCTACGTATTTTCTTACACACAGTTGCAGCTTGCAGAGTTCAAACGCAGGAGACCCCTCAGGTAACCCCGGAATCCAAGATCAAGCGCGGGCCGCCGGCGACCCCTCCACGCCCATGCAAGAAGGCTCGCAAGCAGCGTTCCTCGCCGCTGCAATCTGCGACTGCGTCTGAAATTAGCTGTGTTCTGGAACAGTTGATGTGCAGCAGCCAATGTACGCCGTCTGATCATTTTTTTGCATGCGCTCCCAGGACAGCACGGCCAAGAATTCCGACCCCGCTGCGTGAGGAGGTTTGTCATAGCTGCTGAGGGTTTAGGGATTAAGGGTTAAGGGTCAAGGACTTTAGGGCATTTAGGGGTTTTAGGGTGTGCAGGGTTTTGGGGCTTAGGGCTTAGGGTTTAGGGTTTAGTGTTAGGGTTACGGGTTCAGGGTGTAGGGTTTAGGGTTGTAAGGTTTAGGGTTTAGGGGATATTTTTTTAAGCTCTGAGCCGAACATCTCAGACCCTCTCTAGACTCTAGTGGTCTCATTTCAGCATCGAAAGCAAGACTCATACTTCCGAGTCAAAAACAAAAACGGCACCCTCGCGCCTTGGCCTTTGCCCGGGCAGTTGCTGGCAGTCTTCCTCGTCAAAGTGACGCACACACGCGGCAAGCGCTTTGCATGGGTTATTTTGTCGCACACTGCGGCTCTCAGGTTACCCCATGCATCTGTAGAGGCCTGGTCGCTAGATTCATACGCCATGCGGAAGAAGCCTGCGGCGCTTCAGCACACCAAGGCGGTGGCAGCGCAGCAGCAGAAGTCGTCGAAGAAGCCTGCTGCAGTCAAGAAGAAACCAGCCGCAGCGGTGAAAAAGCAGTCCCTGAAGAAGCCTTCCGCAGTGCTCAAGAAGCCGGGCAGCGCAGCACTGAAGAGGCCTGCCACAGACAAGCAGGAAAGCATGAGTTCCAGTGAGTCCAGCAGCTCGAGTGAGCGGACGCCCGCGATCGGCTGTGTGCCACCACCAATGCCGGCTGCCAACCCGCCATTTATTGGCAATACTCAGCCGCCATTTGGACCACCCCCGCCTCCCGGGCCTGCCAACTGGGGCCCAATTGGCGTTGTGTATGGAGTGCCGGCTGGAATGCTGCCAGGGCCACTTGCGGGCACAGGGGGCAGACCGCCAATGCAGGCGGGCGGCCCACCACCTCCCACGCCAATTACGACCCCGGCTACCGGACTGCCGATGAACCCGCCGCCGACTCCTCTCCGACCTTCGCGCAGAGTCCCGCCGTTGGGCCCCGTGCTCCCGTGATTGAAGCCAGCCTCTTGCGTGTGGAAAAAGAATGCAAGAATGCAAAGTGCCAGACT